TCTTTAAATCCTCATATCGTGTCAGCTTTTCCAGTTGCAATCCTGCTGTCACCTGGGATTGCAACATCAACAATCCATACTTTGTTTTTTAACATGATCATAAATTATTGGCATCTCTTTTCCTGTTGTTTGAATCCCATGCTCTATTGTGTCCTAATCCCTAGAGCCGCAGAGAACACGTTTACCCCCTCCTCTATTTCTGATGGAAAAGAGGGACTCTGTACTTCACTTACTACTGAGGGCCCTTTCACACAGCCTTATATCCCAGAATATCAAGACAGAAAACCTCACATGATTTGAGTGTGGACTCAAAGCAGATATTGTAGGATTTTCTGCCTTGATATTCTGGGATATAGAGCTATTTGGAAGGGCCTTCAGACCTGATGCAAGTAAGAGGATTTTAATTTGGGTTATCAGACTGATAAATATGCTGCACCAGGGATGGGATCTTAATGTTTCATGTGTCTTCCTTCAGTTCCTAGTTTGCCTTCTAGTCACATTTTGTATTCACAATGAATTAATTGCATTATTTACATTTAGCACAGTTCCTACCACAGTTTCCCTTCTCTTTTTTATTGGCCTAAATGAAATTATTCAGCAGGTGTGTGTTTTATTCTAAAATGTTATCCATATACTATATGCACTTTTAATGTGACAGATTACAAAATCTTCATGGAGCCTAATTGAACAGCCAAAGTGGAAAAGACAGAGCTCCCTCCAGGTTTGAGTGAACCCTTTCTATAATAATGAGATTAATTCTAGAGCAGTGGTTCCCAACCTGTATCATGAATGCAGAACACTTGTATGTTCTGGTATTGTCCTGAAGCTGATATGCTTGAATCTCCAGGCAGGTTACTATGCTCTGGTTAGGGACACTATATTGCATAGTCTGTTATAGGAAGAAATAGTTCCAAGCCACTCTAGGATGTCCAATTCTTTATTTTTAATGCTCTCTCTGTTCATTTGCTATGTTAGGTGTAGACCAGTTCAAGAGTCTCTTTCATGGTGGTACGAGGGTGCATGCGGCGCTCCCGCAGCCGTTTAATACTGCCATCAACTTCAAAGCCCGTCTGCTTCTCATGAATGCAATCTCGCAAGTAACGTCGGGTGGCTTTTAGGTGTGCAATATTGTCATCCGTATCTGCTATGGAGCGATCTAACTGTGCAGTGGACTGAGGAGGAAAATAACCAGGGAAGGAGGGGGAGTTACTAAATAATTGGATGCCAAAGAAAACACCAGCTTTGTGTGACTTATATCAGGTTAACGCATGGGCTTTTGTTTGTTTAGCAAATTTTTATAGCAATTTCAGCTTAGTTATAGAACAGATCTTAATGATCACACTTACCTTTACTTCTTAATAAGCACGCACAGAATTGGATTCTTAAATTGCAATCTTTGTACCTAAGTGTGGCCTGCCCTTCACATAGCTCACATTAACTATATACAACATAGCCCAAGTCTGGGAAGTTTCAAAGTTGGAAAGCAGTTACTGAGAAGGTACTTTCTCTCCACTAGTCTAGGAAGATTTATTGAGAATTCTCAGCTCCAGAGCATTGCCAAATTACAAATTCCAGGATTGCAAAGGATGTTGCCATGGCAGTTAAAATAGAAATAACCATGAAATAAGAGTGTGGTGTGGAAGGGGCAATGGATACCATAACTTTTGTCCTGTTCGACTTCCCCTACATTTGTAACCCTAGGCATCGCTGCCACCATATTAAGAAATTTTGTTATTTAAAGCTAAATCTTTTATACATTTTTTAAATATCCAAACCATCTACTAAAGATACCAGAAAACCTGGTATTTCAATTTTCTCTAGTTATTTTCCATTTGTGCATTCTCAGTTTTAGATACCTACTTGGTACCATCACCTGAAACAGAACTAGCAAGAGGGCTTTGCCTGGGACCTTGGAGAATCACCATTACTTAGCTCTAGACTACGATACTTAGTTGACCAATATGACAACTCGCAGGTCTTTGCCTAGCTTTATAATAGAGGTTATGGTTTGTATATATAAATCCATACTGAGGATTTGGTTTTCTTAATTAACCTGCCACTAATTCCCTGAAAATTATCACTATTGGACAAAGTGAAGCAAGCAGTGGTTCTGAATAAAGAATCTTATATCTCCTTTAACTTCTCTTGCGCCAGTTAGGGAGATGTCAACAGTACTCTGTGGAGTTGCACTTGCCATCAGTACTCCCTGTTAGGCAAAGATGCTGCCATGTTTCATGGCAATCAAACCCACTCAGAAGTCATGGTGCCTAACTGTTACCTGGTTGAGGATTGCAGCTTCGGGGAGCTGTGTTCCCACATGCCTTTGGAACACCTGCACCACTGGCCGTGTCAACTTCTCCCGTGTTTCCAGATACTTGCTACTCACAGGGCCCTATGAAGATCAAAAAATGGTTTAGATTCTGGATGTGAAGAGAAAAAAAGAAAGAGTTAGGAATGAGTTTCTTCCTCAGTTGATTCCCAAGCAAACAAAGTGGGAGAAGGTAGAATGTGGGGAATTGAAGCTCCCTTTCCCCCTCAATCCTCAGAACTTACCAAAGCCATTCCCCGGGTGATACACATCTCATGCTGAAAACGTTTGCAGCGGTGCAGGGTGCTACGTGTGCCTGCCAGAGTCATGTCCAGCCGTTCCTGCCACAAACAGGAAATCAGATTTGTTAGTATCACACAAACAGGCATATACATTCGTGTGTGTATGTGTCCTTTGTACTAAAACTAGGAATAATGAAGGATGCGTTGTATTTTTGCAGGTTGTTTTGTCCTTTTGGCAGCCTAACAGCCGAAGAAGCTATATAAGAATAAAGTTTTGGTTCCAAACTTTTGGAGTTAGCTCTAATCCTAAATATCCTGCCTGCCATGTCATGTGGCTCTCCAGATGTTTGACTTTTTTTTTTGTCGTGTCAGGAGCGACTTTAGAAACTGCAAGTTGCTTCTGGTGTGAGAGAATTGGCCGTCTGCAAGGATGTTGCCCAGGGGATGCCAGGATGTTTTGATGTTTTTACCATTCTTGTGGAAGGCTTCTCTCATGTCCCTGCATGAAGAGCTGGAGCTGATAGAGGGAGCTCATCCACGCTCTCCCTGGATTCGAACCTGCGACCTGGATTCAGTCCTGCTGGCACAGGGGTTTAAACCTCTCTGCCACCAGGGCTCTCAGATGTTTGACTACAACTCCTATATTCCTCATAATTTGACATTCCAACTAGAGCTGATGGAAGTTATGATACACTAATGTTTGGAAGGCTGCAGTTTGCTCTGTTCAGTCAGGATAGTTGTTTTTGAATTTCGATGGTAAGATTTTGGATATGTTGTCCGACTTTGAAATGTCCTTTGAGCTTTCCCCAACCTCAGAGCAACAAGTGCTTTGAAGGCAACTATTAGGCTGGTCTGGCCCTTGGTGAAAATTAGTTTGACACCCCTGATCTAGAAGATATAGGAAGAAAAATTGAGAAAGAGGAAATGGAATAAAAAGTGCCTGTTGTTAATCTAAAAGAGTACTACAATTATCATGTGGTTAGAACCCTGATTAGAGACAGCATAGTCAAACCAAAATAAAGGTCTGTGGCAGTGTCAGTAGATACTTTCATCACATTACAATCTGCAGAGTCTAATCAGAATGAGAACCAAAGTATCCTTTTCCACACCATATTCCTAAGTTATCTTCACCAATGCTGCATATCTATGTAATTCAGAAACTATGGTGACAGCACAAGAAGATAAGGTACAAACCCCCAAGAGTGTGAAAACCAGTGAATATATGTTCTGCAAACAACATCAATGGCCTAACTAACTTCTGCTGCCAGTATAGTAGGAAGTAAGTATGTGCACAAAAAATGTATGTGTGGAATCCTGATTTCCACATTAAGAGGGAAGACATGAAAGACCAGACATAGTAAATAGCTTCACCATGTGCTTCATTAGATATTTGTGAGGTATTGAGCCTCATTAATACATACTGTGAGGCCTAATTTTTAATTTATTTTTATTATTAATTAATTATATATTACTTCATTTCTAGCCCATTTTTCTTCCGATAGAGACTCAGCGCAACTAATGATAACATGACACAACCCAATAAAATGTAAAGCAAGGCAAATACAAAATTTTTAGAACAAATATTTGTGTCACCTTGGCACTGGAACACCATTTTAGTGCCAATCAGTGTTTTGCTTGTCCATACAAGAATGGCTTTGATTATAGATTATCAATCAGAAGAGGGTATCGGAAAACATCCTTTTTAGATTTCAACTGCCAGAATTCCTTCAGAGGAATGCTGGTAGTAAAAGTTAAAAAAGTAACTTTTCCAAGTTCTGCTTGAGAAAAAAAAAACGGAGTGGGGGATTTTAGGAACTGGCACTACAGTTGGGCCATTGCTTTTAGTGACAGTCCCTTAACACATGGCACTGTGCATCCTGTTGCCGGTTTGTCTCCCCTCCTGTAATTTTCCAATCTTTAATTTATTCATTAGTTAAATGAGTGACAGGTAAAATCTGTCAATAGCTTCTAGTCCCATAATGTTCATATCTTCTACCTTGGTGAAATAGGTCCATTCCGCTTTTGTGTTGGCCTACCAGCAGTAAAGTGAAGTCAGGGGGCAGGATTCTCCTCACTATTCCCAAGTTGGCTATATAGCTTCTCTTGTATATTTTACTTTTCTACTTACATTTTTGTTTTCAAAAGCTGGAATTGAGCAATTGTGCAAAAATATTTAAAAGTTATGTAACTAGTAGTGTGGGAAGGCAGGATTATGAGGGTGTTTGGACGTACAAATGTAGGACTACAAATAGCGCTAATGAAGAGATGTGCTATATAGAGTGCTCAATTCTATTAGCAATAAAGCAACTGTAGTATAATAGCAAGTTCGTGAGATCAAGTCTTTTGTTTCCCATTACCTTGTGAGTCAGTGTCTCTTCTCTTTTGCCTGCCAGGCTGTTATCAATGTAGCAGTGAGTTGCATATCGGATTTCCCGTGCCTCGTCAATGGCCTTTTGCACCTCAACTAATACATCCTTGGTGAGGAAGGTGAGGCGTCGGGACTCTTCTACAGCTGCCGCACACTCTAGACGGCAGAGATAGGGAAAGCGAGAGGAGATATGAACTCTTCTTAAATATGTTTTAGTTGGTTGAAATATATCACACCTCAGTGTCTGTTGGGGTTTTTTCATTAATTTATTTTATTTTTACCAATGGACTATACTCTGACATGTTGCCATTAAACGATCTACTCTTTTAAGAAATCTGACTTCAGTTGACTCAACTGCTTTTGCTGAACTATAATATACTTTGGTCATGTTTTGATGTGCCACCCATTCTTCTTTTCTTTTATGCCATATAATTCCCTCTGTTGATATTCAAACATAATGCCCTGTGAGGAGACCATGCAATATGAGGAGTGCCTTAGAATCATATTGAAAGAGACCTCGTGGGCAATCCAGTTCAACCACCTGCCAAGAAGCAGGACAATCGCATTCAAAGCACCCCCAACAAATGGCCACCCAGCCTCTGTTTAAAAGCCTCCATAGAAGGAGCCTCCACCACACTTTGGGGTAGAGAGTGCCACTGCTGAACAGCTCTCATAGATAGGAAGTTCTTCCTAATGTTCAGGTGGAATCTCCTTTCCTGTAGTTTGAAGCTGGGTATGTTTAGCCTGCAGAAGAGAGACTTGATAGCCGTGTATAAATATGTGAAAGGGTGTCATTAAGTAGTGGGAGCAGACTTGTTTTCTGCTGCCCTGGAAACTAGGACTTGGAGCAATGGGTTCAAATTACAGGAGAGGAGATTCCACATCAACGTTACTAGGAAGAACTTCTTGACTATAAGAGCTGTTCAGAAGTGGAACTCTCTGCCTCGGAGTGTGGTGGAAGCTCTTTCCTTGGAAGCTTTTAAACAGACTGGATGGCCATCTCAGGGGTATTTTGTGCTTTTCCTGCATGGCAGAGGATTGGACTGGATGGTCCATATGGTCTCTTCCAACTCTTATTATATGATTCTATGAAATTTACAAATAAACATAAATAATGCCCAAAACTACATTTTGGGATACTTCTGTGTGTTAGCCAAACTCTACAATCGCTTACTACTTCTGTCTGCTCTCAGGAAGACAGGCCTGACATCTAAATTATACTGCAAAAAAGATTTCAGCATCCCCCCCACCCCCAAATGTATCCTTGTATTAAATGTTTATGGTAAACGTTGTGAGCAGCTTTAGGATGAAGAATGGAAGGATGGGCATTCCTTCCATTCTTATGAATTTGCCATTTCTAATATTCTTTTTACAGGTATGTGGGCACCAAACAGTTTTCGTACCTGGCGTGAAGGGTCCAACAGGATCAGGTATGGGTGTCTCATTTCGCTCTACCCAGGGGGACGAGGGTCGGCTCAGTCCAAGCCAGGAGTCTCGCCCTGCCCCTAAAAGAACCATCCGCAGAGGCTGAGGAACAAGGTCAAGCACCTGGCCACGTTCGCCACACAAGGTGTTCAGGTTTTCCCTGCATTTGCCCAGTGCCTGCAGCAAGTAGGACAGTTGTGAGGGAGGAGGCAACGCGAAGAGGAATATGTTTTCATCTTCCACATTCTGTGCCCCAATAAATCGAAGTCTTGGATCTGAAATAGTCCATGAGGCTACAGCAGAAGAAGATTGGATACAGGGGGATTACCTCCATATATCAGCCAGTTCTCCAACTACCATGTAGTTGCTCTGCTCCTAGAATAACCTCCTGCTCGAGACCTCCCATGCTCTCTCATGAGATTATCAGATTTTGGATCATTCCCAGATTTCCCAGCTACGGTCAGTCCCCTGTATCCACAGGTTCAGCATTCATGGATTCAACCAACTCAAAAATACTTGGGGGGGAAATCCAAAAGCACGCCCTTACTATATAAAATATCCCACGTTATAGAAGGGGCTGTACTTTATTGCAGTATTGTCTATTATGGAACTTGAGTATTCATGGTATCCACATGAGATTCTAGAAACAAACCCCAGCAGATATCAAGGACCCACTGTACACTCATCTTCTCCTTTCCTTATTCCAGAGCTTTCCAAACTGTGTCATCTGCAGTGTGTTGCATGTCAAGCAAATATAATGAGAAACTTCAGAGTCTATGTGAAATAAGCAATAAATCACATATTTTTAAAAATATAAATGAAAGGTTTCTATGAGATATATTGTGACCCCATACATATTGTCATTATAATTTATGTATGTGTCTATTTCTCATAAAGGGTTAGTTTAATCTCCAATTTTCTAGTAAAATTGAACAATTATGTCGTGAAATGATGCATGTCTAAAAAGTGTCACCAAGGCCCCTTCCACATAGCTGTATAAAATCCACATTGCACTTAATTATATGCTAGTGTGGACTCAGATAACCCAGTTCAAAGCAGATATTGTGGATTATCTGCCTTGATATTCTGGGTTATATGATTGTGTGGAAGGGTCCCAACATGAAATGTTTGGAAAGCTCTGTCTTATCCTCTTCCTCCTTTTCAGAATTTTTAGTTCTTCTGGCTATATCTGCCTTCTCTCACTTACCTTATCCTTTCATCTACTTTCTACTAAATTCATTCTATCTCCTTAACCCATTCCCAAAGAAAACCTTGAAACTGAGATGTTAGATTCTTAGCATCTGAAAGCTATATATTTAACATCCTTATCATGTCCCCTTCTCCCAACATTTGGCTATTGGTAGTGTTATTATGACTGTAATTATTATGGTTTTGGGGTTAGGGAGGATTTCACAGTCTGTTAAAAGGAAAAAGAAAATGTGGGCAATGGATGAGATTAGTTAATAGAAGTAAACGGTAAAAACAGAAATTTAGAAAAGATTTTTCTTTGGAAAATTTCATTGGATTTGATTATGACTCCCTAGTGTTAAAATCGGTGCTTGTAAAAATTGTGAAAGTAGACTTAGAAATTTATTTATTTTTTAACTTTAGGGCAACATTGGGAAAACATTGGGAAAAATCAAATCATTTTCACCCATTTAAAATAGTTTGTGCATGTAATTTGAATTATATCTCTAAGCAATTTTAAACAATGCATGAGATATAATGAGATAGGAGTAACATCATCAGGGGCCTACCTATAAGAATATTTGGTATTGTCTGTGCTATATTTGAGGTTATGGTAGGAAACAGAAGAGAAGTATGGAGGATGCTCTGGTAAGGTTAAAAAAGGTAAAAACTTACTTTTATTGCTGCAGGTAAAACATCTGAGATAAAAGAGTAGACAGACAAAAGAAAATTACCTAATTTCAGTAGAAGAGTCCCTAATGCTGACTGTCATGTCTGTGCATAAGGCAGCTTAAGATCTAATGGTGCTCCTGTCTAAAACAAAGGGCAATAAAGCATAAAAGACTTCTGAGAAGGAGGGGGGAGTGCTCTCTACATGCAATAAGGAAGGAAAACATTTTTAGTTACATTGATAAACAGAGCTGGAAAACAAGACAGAAGGCACGCACCACAGGCTTCTCTCTGTCCTTAATTGCTCTTTATACAAGTGTTGATACTTCCAACACTAGCCCTAGGTTTCAGGTTTAGCCGCTGGATACTCAGGTCCTATGATGCTTCAGATAAGGCAGTCCTACCCAGTCTAACATTGTCCCTTGACGTCAAGATGACCTCTTTGGCCCACTTTGCCTTTTACTGCTTTCCCCTAGTTTATTGTGGTGGGTTTGTCTCATTGCCTGTATGAATTCTAGCGAGGGGATCTTATCCATGCCTTATTTCCTACCTTAAGATGTTCTCCTGACGATGCCATCATTTTTTCCAGTTTGGCTTTCAATTTCAGGAACTCCACCCGCTCCCATTTCATCAACCCATCCACCTTGTCTGGTATCTATCCAATGGGAAGAGGAACAAATGTGCAGTGAAGGTTACATAAGTAAAACTATTGTAAACTGGTTTTTACATATTGGGATTGTTGGGGGAAATGAGAGAGTTGGGATATCAAACAATTTATACAAAAATCCTAATACAGGACATAATTGGTTATCAATTCTTCTTAGAATGCCTGGACAACAGGAATAGGTCTTGGCAAATCATGCATACTAGCATCCTCTTTGGGGAAATTCCCGTTCTAAAAATGCTAATCTGATTATCAAATAAGGAGAAAAAGTATTGGTTCTTCCTCTATAAATAGAGGTCATATAGTATATTAGGTAGGAATGTTGGACCAGGGCTTCAAAGATCTAGTCTTTAATCTCCACTGAGTTAGTTTTTGTAAGACTAAAGTGGTGAACAATGCAGTGGCATCCGGTGGATCTCCCATTCCAGACCAGACCCCAGTATTGCAGCTATAATAACAAAATTTTACAAATTCAAACAAAACACAACAGGAACGAAAATAACAGGGCTTGCTTGCAGCATGAACAGATGAAACCACATGATTTGAAGCATCAGTGCACATGGGTAATAATGACAGCTCTGACTGGAGCACATGGACATTTTTCAATTTGAAAAGTAAATCTTCATAGAGTTGTTAGCCATTTGGTTCCAGTATATTGATATAGTACATAGAAGCTAAAGCTGGGGTTACAAAATCTTTGTTGTACTTATACGTAATTACAGGAATATTTTTATTTAAAATATTTTTTTTCTGAAACATTGCACACAAAATTTATAGACAGTAATTTTATCACTTCTGATGGTGCCACCCACTGTGATTTGCACTCCCAACCTAGTGATACCACTGGAGCAACTGTGATCTAGAGAGGCAGAGACAAAGAAGGGCAGAAAGGCCAACTTTGATTTAACACCAGTGATTTCAGTACATTTTTACTGCTGCTTCTTATGAACAAGATCTGTAAAACTTGTTCTGCAAGTTTGCTACAAAACCTGGCTGTGAATGGCATTTCTGGCCTCTGTCTGGCATCGCCAGTAACACACCTTCCTCATGTAGAGTGATGAAATTACAAAAGCGTCCTAACTATTAATCAGGCCAATGAGATAGATAGTGAGGAGGATAAAGCTGCTCTCTGCTTCATGGCCAATGATTTTTCTAAATGGCCTCTGTAAAACAAGTAAGGAAGAAAATTGCAACAACAAACAAATTAAATATTCTTTTTAGCCTCCTGGGATTAACACTCATAGCATATACTTTGGGCAGCATCATACAAACATAAGAAAAAGCACAATGGTTTTACTTTCAATGCTTCAGTCTCCAGTTTAATAGAAATTAAGCTTTTGAAGACACCTTATTCCCCCACAGGAGCCTTGGTGGTGCAGTGGGTTAAACC